TACCTTAGCTTCTTCACTCGGCGATGACATCGCATAATACTGTTTGTGCTCTTACACATTTATTCGTCTTCTTACGTTTCTTTTCCTTGAATAGCTTTCGAGTTTACGGTCTAAGTTTCGCATTCTCACAGTTGCATTGAGAGTATACTCTTATCGATTACTCTATTTTCCCATCGATAGCGCGCACCTTACGTATACCGCACACTTTGTACTTTTTTATGCTCGTTAAAGTGTATAGATAACGTGCACCTAGCAGATACCGCGCACCTTGCAATATTTAATTTTCGTGAAAATGTACAGATAGCGTGCAGTCTATTTCTCGTCTGAAAAAGAAAGCAGTATTCAGACAAATGAATAATGGAATTGGCCGTAGCTGTGTCTAAAACAAACGAACAAAAGAATTAGCAAGTGTTTACCGTCTAAAACTGAAAGTTGCTCCTGAGAAAATTACCCACAGAGAAAAATGTTCTGTGCGGAGTAAATTTTATACAGCGATGTTAAAGTTGGAAGCCGTTAATTTCGTGAAAGAAATATCATGAGGCAGCCAGGAAATTTAACCAGAGTCCACTGTACGGGAACGATGACAGGAAGAAGCAGTCGCAGAATGATTACACCAGAAGAAACGTGCAATGAAGTAGAGGAGATACCTCTCGCCAGAGCTCGTAAAAGTTCTACTGGAGTGGGTTCTTTTAAGGAAATCGAAAGGACATAAGGTGTACAAACAACGGGCACTTTTAGAGGGAAAAATGATTCAGAAGAGAGTAAAATAGAGAATTTCAAGGCTTATCCATCATGAGCTCTTAGATTCAAGAAAAGAAACAATTGGTGTATTCGCTCATCCCCGAGTGTTGGCCAAAATCTACCCGATGACTGGGAAGCGACAGTAGAGAAATTAAGACCTCACGTTAGAGGAAATCTATGTGGTGTGGATCCTGCACATTTTGGTAAAATGGACGAAGCATTCGTTATCTTTGACCTCTATTGTTCAACGACTGTTAATTTAAAAGGATCAAAAGAAGTTTCTATAGCCACCACCCGGACATGAGAAGCGCATGTAGAAAAACTGAATTAATTAGGAATATTTTCGTTTTTCATTGCA